GAATATTGCAATAAAGCAAGTAATGTGATTTTTTTTTGGATTCCAAGTGCATATAAAAGTTATGTTTATTCTATAGGGCAGTCTATTAAGTGTACAGCAGCATTATGAATAAATACACAATGTACATACCTTAATTTTAAAAAGTTTATTCAGCCTGGGCAACATAGAGAGACCCGTGTCTACAAAAAATTTAAAAATTAGCCAGGTGTGGGGGTATGTGCCTGTAGTCCCAGTTACTCAGGAGGCTGAGGTGAGAGGATCCAAGTGTTCATGATTATAGTGAGCTATGATCATGCTACTGCACTCCAGCCTAGGCAACAGAGTGTGACCCTGTTTCAATAAATAAATAAATAAATAAAGTCGCACATGGTGGCTCACGGCTGTAATCCCAACACTCTGGGAGGCTGAGGTGGGTGGATCGTTTGAGCTCAGGAGTTCAAGACCAGCCTGAGCAAGAGCGAGACCCCATCTCTACTAAAAAAATAGAAAAGAAATTAGCTGTACAACTAAAAATACATAGAAAAAATTAGCGGGGCATGGTGGCACATGCCTGTAGTCCCAGCTACTTAGGAGGCTAAGGCAGAAGGACCGCTTGAGCCCAAGAGTTTGAGATTGCTGTGAGCTAGGCTGATGCCACAGCACTGTAGCCCAGGAAACAGAGTGAGACTCTGTCTCAAAATGAATATGTAAATAAATAAATAAAATAATTTATATTTGAGCCTTCAGCAAGTTGTAATCTTTTTGTTGGTGGAAGGTCTTGCCTAGATGTTAATGGCTGCTGACCGATCAGGGTGGTAGTTGCTGAAGATTGGATTGGCTATGGCAATTTCTTAAAATAAGACAACAATGAAGTTTGCTGCATAGATCAACTCTTCCTTTTACAAAAGATTTCTCTGTAGCATGCAATACTGTTTGATAATGTTTTGCCCACAGTACAACTTCTTTCAAAATTGTGTAAGTAAATCCTTTCAAACTCTGCTGCTACTTTATCAACTAAGTTTATGTGATATTCTAAATCTTTTGTTGTCATTTCAACGCCAAAAGCATCTTTACCAGAAACATCCTTACCAGAAGAAGATTCCATCTCAAGAAACCACTTTGCTCATATAGAAGCAACTCCTCATCCATTCAAGTTTGATCATAAGATTGAAGTAATTCAGTCATATCTTCTGGCTCCACTTCTATTTCTCTTGCTATTTCCATCACATCTGCAGTTTTTTTCTCCATTGAAGTCTTGAACCTCTCAAAGTGATCCATAAGAGTTGGAATCAACTTCCTCCAAACTCTTGTTAATGTTAATATTAACCTCCTCTCATGAATCACAAATATTCTTAAGGTATCTAGAATGGTGAATCCTTTCCAGAAGGTTTTCAATTTACTTTGTCCAGACCATTAGATGAATCACTATCTAGGGTAGCTATACCCTTACAAATGTATTTCCTAAATAATAAGAGTTGAAAACTGAAATCACTCCTTGATCCATGGGCTACAAAATGGATGTTGCATTAGTAGGCATGAAAACAGTATTAATCCCCTTGTACACCACCATCACAGCTCTTGGATGCCAGGTGCACTGTCAATGAGCAGTAATATTTTGAAAGGAATCTTTTTTCTGAGGAGTAGGTCTTAAATGGTAAGCTTAAAATATCCAGTAAACCTTGCTGTAAACAGATGTTCTGTCATTCAGGCTTTCTTGCTCCATTTATAGAGCAGAGGCAGAGTAAATTTAGTATAATTCTTAAGGGCTATAAGATTTGGGGAATGGCAAATGAGCACTGGCTTCCACTTCAAGTCACCAACTGCATTTGTCCCTACCCAAGAGTTAGCCTGCCCTTTGAGGCTTTGAAGCAAGACATTGACTTCTCCTGTCTAGCTATGAAAATCTTAGATGGCATCTTTTTCCAATAGAAGGCTGTTTTATCCACATTGAAAACCTGTTGTTTAGCTACCTTAGTCAATTATCTTAGCTAGATCTCTGGAGAACTTGCTGCAGCTTCTACGTTGCTGCTTCACCTTGGACTTTTATTTTATGGAGATGGCTTCTTTCCTTAAACTTCATGAACCAACAACCTCTGCTAGCTCCAAACGTTTCTTTTGCAGCTTCCTCACCTCTCTCACACCTTCATTAAATAGTTAGGATCTTGCTCTGGATTAGGCTTTGGCTTAAGGGAATGTTATGGCTGTTTTGATCTTCTAACCAGACCACTAAAACTTTCTCCATATCAGCAGTAAATCTGCTTTGCTTTCTTATTATTTGTGTGTTCATTGGAGTTAACAGTTTTAATTTTCTTCAAGAAGTTTTCCTTCACATTGACAGCTTGGCTAACTTGGCTAAGAGACCTAGCTTTTCAGCCTATCTCAGCTTTCTCCCTGCCTTCCTCTCTATGCTTATTTCTAGCTTTTCATTCAAAGCTAGAGACAGGACTCTTTCTTTCACTTGAACACTTAGAGGCTATTATATGGTTATTAACCTGATTGTTGTGTCTCAGGGAATAGGGAGAAGTGAGGCAAGGGAGAGAGATGGGAGAATGGTTGGTTGGTGGGTCAATCAAAACTACTTACAGTATCTGTTAAGCTCTCTGCTTAATGGATGCAATTTGTGGCACCCCAAAACAATTATAAGAGTAACCTCAAAGATCAGTGATCACGGATTCACAAATCACCATAACAGATATAATAATGAAAAAGTTTGAAATATTGTAAGAATTACCAAAATGTGACACAGAGATACAAAGTGAGCCCATGCTGTTGGAAAAATGACAAACCTTCAATTTGTAAAAAATGCAGTATCTGTGAAGGGCAAGAAAGTGCAATGCAATAAAATAAGATATGCCTGTACTGAGTTTGAAAGAGAAGCAGATTCAGGGTGTAACCTTGGGAATGGGTGATCAGATTAAGTGTATTAATAAAAAGACATTGGAGAAGTATGGCATTAGGGTTAGAATCTTGTGTGGCAGGACCCTGTTCTGTTTTTTTCTTCTTTCTTTTTCCAAATTTTCTTTATTAGAAAAAATAAAGTAGCTTATTATCCACTGTAATTACCCATCTATTCAAATCTAAAATAGTCTATTTTTCTATTATATAATATTTATCCTTTTTGCCAGAATTAAATTTTGCATAATGTGACAACTTAGCTGGCAGCTGAATGGAATTTGCTAAATATAAATGATAAAGATATGCTAGATTAATAAAAATTGAATAAATAGCTCAGAGAACTGATTTTGTAATTAGTCGTATTTCTGACATTCAAAGGCATTGTCCATAACATCCGTGAGCTTTGAAAAACATATGTATAAAGAAGAAGGGCTAATTTGAGTATCTGTAAATACACTAAATATATATTTGTATGTATACCAACTACACCTAAGTTTCAAGAGCATGTCCTAAATCTGAAAATTTCTAGGCTCTGAATCCTGGATAACAGATTACATGATACTGTCAATTCTCAGTTGATCATACTCATACTCATATAGCACTGATTTTTAGAAAACATCTTTAATGTATAGCTGAAAATGGAAACTGGTAATTTCACTTGTAATTGCATACTCACAGGACCTGAATAATTGAATTAGAAAGGAAATTAGAGATGGTTTAATTTAGTGGTTCTCTGAGTGTGGACTTGTGAGATCAGCAGCATCTGCATTACCTGGGAACTTGTTAGAAATGCAAATTATCAGGTCCCACTCCAGAGCCACAGGATCAGAAACTCTGGAGGTGGGGTGAAGCAATCTGTTTTAACAAGCCCTCCAAATGATTTCTATGCATGCTAAAGTTTGAGAACCATTGGTTTAATCCATACATCTCCTTCAAAATTGGAATTATGGACTCCCATAGAGATTAGCTGAAATTAACACTTAAAACAATGAACTTTGAAAGATCCTAACTGAGCTTGCTTAAAGGACATCTTATATACAACTCTATCTCGTTTCCCTTTCTATGCACTGTTACAACAAATTACCACTAATTTAGCAATTTAACCCAAATTTACCCTCTTACAGTTCTCTAAGGTCAACACCTGTCCTACTGGGCTAAAATCAAAGTGTGTTTTTCTTTTTGGAAACTCTAGGAGAGAATCAATTTCCTTGCCTTTTTCAGCTCTAGAGGCCACTCACATTCCTTGACTTCTCTCACCTTCCTCTATTTTCAAAGCCAGTATATATGCATTTTAAAATAAAAAATTTATGTCTTTTAAACTACACTTTGCAGCCTGTATAAATGACCAGTCACCCACATCTGCCTAGTATCTATTCTACACACCTCAGTATTATACTGTCATTGGCACAGACTATGTCATAGAACATCACAACAGGATCATGCAAGATCCTCAGGCAACAAAAATAACAAATAGTAATAAATTATATTCATCACACCACTCTTGGTAGATCAGGAAAGATTACGGGGTCATTTCAGAAAAAGATTTAAAGTAAGTTTTAAACAATAAGGTTTCCTGCTTAAGCCCTGGTTAACAGGACAAGTGAATTAGAACAATTCATTGCTCAAAGATTGCATTTAATCCTAGTTTTTCCGCATCATTTTAATTGTTAACTTTTCATTAACATATTGCATAGACTTTTCCTCGTTTTTGTTTTTTAAAGAGGGATACTGAAGGACTTAAGGAAAATGCTGATTTGAGGACTACATGCCTAAAGGAGTTGAGTTTTGGTGGTGAAACTATGAGGTAACATCATTTTCTGCGTTTTCTATAGTTTCATTAATGAGAAATGTATTGTTTTTATAATAGGAACAATGTAAAAAAAAAAAAAGGAAAAGAAAAGAAAACCCAAAATACAGTCATCTGAAATGATAAGGTCTGACTTGTAAGACAGGGGTATGGCTTTTGAAATCTCAGGCAAATAAATGACAAAGGGCTTTTCCCCCCAACACTGCCATCCAAAGCGTCCCGGCAGAATCTTCCCTGATAAATTATTTTGAACACTTCTTTAAAGATAAATGTGCACCACAAATCATTTTCTCAACATGTGACTGCACTACCTCACTACCTTTTTCTCTTCAGTTGGTTGTGGTTTAAATTGAGGCCTCCTCAAAGAAATGAACTTTTAACATTTCCAAGGCCTCTGTGGTGCCACAGGAGCAGCTACAGCGGCGGCCCGGCTGAGAAGCGCTCGCACGCCAGGTCTGCTATGGGGCCCACGGCGGTCGGGATTTTGGAAGTAACGTGTCTAGGCCCAGCCGGCGCCGTGAAGGGCCGGCCCTGCCAAGAGCCCGGGTGGCGGGCGCCCACAGGGCAGGGTTCGGTGCGGCGCCGCAGCCCGCTCTGCCCGCGAGCGGAGTCCGGGCTCCTGAGGGGGAGCCGCACTGGGGGCGGCAGCGTCGGGTCGGGGCGGGGGCGGGAGCCAGGCGGCAGATCCCGCGTCCGTGGGGGAGGAGCGGCAGCAGCGGCTGCTGGAGCTGCTGTGGCGACCGACGCGAGGCGGTGGCAGAGGAGACCCACCCCTGTCCACATGGACAGTCGCAAAGGCCTCCGCTGATGCATTCACGCCTGGGCGGGGTGGACGGACGGCCGTAGCGGCGGCGGCTGCAGAAAGAGCGAGGGGCCTGCGAGCGCCTGTCGGTCGCGGAGACCTCGCCGCTCCGGCGCGGCGGGTGCGGCCATTTTACGGCCTTGGGACGAAGAGAGGCGTGTTTGTGTGCTCTCCTTCATCCTTCTTTGCTGGGGGCCCGCGGCTCAGAGACGCTTCTCAGGCTGCCTGGGCGGGCGGTGGATGGGGAGTCGTGGGCCGAGAGGAACCAGGCCCGGGAAGCGCCGTCGCCGTCGTCGCCGCTCGCGTTCCCCCGAAGGGGCTTGAGGAGGAGCCCAGGCCGCGGGCCTCGTCGCCCGCCAGCCCGCGGACAGGCCCGGGCGCGCTTGGCCTGCTTTTGTGTAGGCCTGTCCGGACGTGGGAACGCAGCCCGCCTGACGGCTGAGCCCGAGGCCCGCAACCCTGCGGCGGCTACCCTCCTGCGGCGCGGCCCCTCATCCCGGCGAGCACGGCGGCGGTGTGGGCCATGGATTAAGGAGGCGGCGGCGTGGGAGGAGGAAGATGGCGGCCGGCAAGAGCGGAGGCAGCGCTGGGGAAATTACTTTTCTGGAAGGTATGTCTATTTCTGCCCTTGCGGGGTAGGGGGGGAAATACAGGAAAACGTGGCCCCTGGAACCCCGGATATTCAGTTATCAGCGCTTGGTGGGTTTGGCGGACAGCGGAGGTACGAGGAAGAGCGGTGGCAGGGAGGGAATGTGTTGCGAGCGCGCCGGGTTCGAGTCCGCCTGGGCGAGGGGCTCGCCGGTGAGCCGGGAAGGCCGAGGGGGCGCGGGTGGATCGGACTGGGAGTTGCAGTTGGTGGGCATCCTTTGAGAGTGTGCGCTTAAGTGTTTGACATTTTTTAATTTTATTTATTTTTTTTTTGTGTGGTGGCCTAAGGATAAGCGCAGCCTACATTCAGATTTTGTTTAGTGTTCATGGAAAGTTTCAAATTGCCAAGATTGGGTGCAACTGGGGGCCAGTCTTTGTAGGAAGGGGATGGGTAGTTTAAGTGAGGTATGTGTTATACCTCCTGGCCTTTCTGTTTCTCAGCGCTTTAGGCTTCTTTTTGCACCCAGTGTTCAGATTGGACCTGGCCTTGTTTGATACTCTTACGGCATGTATTTTGCTAAAACTATTTTGTAAAATAATTTATTTGAAGAAAGAGAACGAGATTTACAGTATCAATTTGGGGACCGTCACTAAAGCGTATAAACAAAGTTTGGGTGCTTTATTCACTTGTGAGGGGAAAGTTAAACATTTAGTGTAAGTGAACTAAGCCAGTTTTAAGAAAAGCTATTATGTTTTTGTTGGGGATGGGTAATGGGTAACAATATTGGCTTTTTGCCCGTGTTTCTATAAAGACTCCAAAAATACAGCTAAATTTTATTGCAATAACTTAAACGCTCACGTTATGTAATTTGCCTATGGGTTCAGTGTTTGCACTGGTAATTGAGTTTATAAATAAGATGTTTGGAAAAATGAGCTTCTCTGCGCAGTGTTTGTTAAAAAGAATTACCTGCTCTTTGGGTAATTTTGCTGATGATTTTCATTGCAGTATGTCATAAGCGATACTTTTTAAAAAATAACTGTAGAAACATTACCGAATTAAGAATGTACAATTTAACTTAAAATTAAGAAAGAACCTTGGTAGTAACAGGTTCTATAGAAAGGTGTTAAGGGATGGGAATGCCTTATGTACTGCTTTATTAACAGCACCTCAAACAGTGCCTGGAACACAATAGGTATTCAGTATTAGTCTAATGGAAGAATTGGAACTAATGAAAGTGGGAGAAAGTAATTTTTTTAATTCTTCCCACTTGAGTATAGTGAAGTGGAAAAAAAATCTCATCTTGCTGTGCAAGCCAGCCTTTACCTTAAAGTGATGAGAGCTTTATATGAGATTCCTAGTAAGAAGATAATAAAAGCTTGTGCATTTTTCTGGGTTCATTTCATATTACCTCCATTCTAGTTTGTGCAGGATAGGTACCTGTCAAGAGGCTGAGTGGTGCAGCTTGTATTACAGGTAGTGCTACCTGAGTTGATATCGTCTTGGAATTGGAAACTCAAAAGATGACTTACTGGTGCTTATTATATTCAGTATGCTGATGATTATACTTTGAGCTATGGGAGATTTAGGGCTTCTGTAGGCTTCTGATTTAGTTTAAGTTCTGATTGGATGAACATAGGAAGGATAAAAAAGTGTAAATAAAGCCAACAGATGCAGAGCTAATGTGAATTTCAAACTATTGCTTTTAGTTTCTTCTAATTTAAGGTTCTTCGAATGTACAGTATAGTAAGTTTGAGTTTCACCATGTCTTCAGCATTTTCATAAAGAAAGCAAATGGCAACTGATTTAGAACATGAGAATAAAGGAAAAGGGAGAATTTTTAGTTCTTTATAATCAGTTTTCATATATTGTATTGAATCTTTCTAAATAAATAAATGGTATTTATTACTACCCCTGTTTTCTGTTTAATTTTCCAAGATTCCTTTGGTTCCTTACACTTCTAATAATAAAATTCTCCACTATAATTTGTCATACATTATGTATTATCACGTTACAAGTTTTCAAAATGTTTCCCCATAGGCTATTAGGATTTCATATTAAAATATTTACTTATTACACTTTCTTTGTTTTCCAGTAAACTTTTTTTTCCCTGCCGCCAAACTCCTCCAGTAAACTTCTTGAAAAACTGAAATAGGTTTTCATTCATTCATCAAATATTTATAGCAGTCTACGAATCATTGTACCAAGGTGAATAGAACAGTGCATGAGATAGTCAACGTCCCTGTTTTCATAGAGTGTGTGTTTTAGTGGGAGAGACGGTCAATGAGTAAAAATAATCCATTTAGAATGTTACCCCAGTTTTAAAAATTAATTTGTTTTTATTGATGCATAATAAGTATACATAGTTTGAGGGTACATGTGATAATTTAATACATTCATGTAATTTGTAAAGATCAAATCATTGTACTTGGGGGATATCCATCACATTAGATATTTGTCTTTATGCTAAAAACATTCAAATTATTCTCTTCTAGCTATTTAAAAATGTACAATAGATTTTTGTAGAATATAGTCACCCTATGATCTGTCTAACACTATGTCTTATTGTCTTATTCTATCAAACCATATGTTACCTCAGGCTTTCATTGTGTTACCTTCTTCACTTTATTCAGGTCTGCTTAGACTTTACATCCTCCTAAAATGTCCTGGTGCCACCAGTGTATGCGCTGTTACCTTTTACTGTTTTATTTTTTATATTAGCAATTATCACTTAATTTATTTCTTCATGTTTTTTAATCCTACTTACTCCAGTCTGTCATAAGCTTTGTGAAAGCAATGAGCTTATCTTTTCACCATCATATTCCTTGCACCTGAAACATGTTTGTTAATGAAATAAACTAGATGGTAACAGTATGATAAAGACTATGGAAAAAGTAAACAGAGCAATGATAGGGAAGCCATTTTACTTAAAGTCAGGAAAGGCCATGAGTATGGTAAAGGAGATGATATGTGTGAAGGTTCAGAGGTGATATATGGTTCCATTTGATAAAAAAAAGGAGGTCATTATGACTGAAATACAGCAAGCAAAGGAGAAAGTGATATGAGTTACAGATCTGTCATGCAGGATTATGAAGAATTTTTATTTCATTTTTTGCCATGGAAGGTAGTTGAAGAGTTTGGGGCAAAGAGGTGTCATGATTTATTTTTTTGAAAAATCACTTTGGCTGCTCTGTTTAATTAATTAGAGAAAATCAACATTAAAAACAAGGAGATAAGTTAGGATAATACTGTAGTAGTCTAGGTAGAAGTGATAGTGGCTTGGATTAGGATGGTGGCAATGGAAATTGGGAAGGAGAAGTGAATAGATTGAAGGTATATTTGGATATAGAGCTTACAGGTTTTGTTGATGAATTGTACAGTGAGGAATTGAAAGCAAGGAATTGAAGGGTTTTGCCTTGAAGTATTGGGAGATAATGACATTTACTGAAATAGTAGACTGGCAAAGGAGTAAGAAGGAAATTAATAGCACTGCTTGTTTGTATTGTATTTGAGATGCCTGTTTGAGATCTTTGTTATACAATATATTTTATATCCTTGTAACTACTAAGTGAAATTCTAATTCTGTTTCCTTTTATAGCTTCTCTAGGGAAAAGGAGACCTACTGGCTACTATTGTACCTTCTTTATTTTGTCCGTAAAATATCACAATAAAATTGTATGAATTTCATTAGGTCACAACTTATGTTGAATTTTTACTTTCCCCTCCTTGACATGTTTCTTTCACTTCTATTCACTTACTGTTGTCTCTTACCCCTTTTCTACTTCTGATAGATGGGTTTGGCAGGTTTCTCTTCTTTGTTTATTCATTTGTACAACAGGTATTTATTGAGCACCTAGTATGTTGTAGGCATGGCACTGCACTAAGAGGCACAATGGTGAGGAGGAAAACATTGTTTCTCCATAAAATCTTTAGTCAGTCTAGTGAAGAGAATCAATAATCAAATAACTACACTTGTAAATGGAAGATTACTACTGTCAAGTCAAGCATCCCAAATCCAGAAATCTGAAATGCTCCAAAATCCAAAACTTTTTGAGCCACCAACATGACACTCAAAGGAAATGCTTGTTTTGGATTTCGGATTTTGGGATTTGGGAGGCTCAACTAGTATAATGCAAATATTCCAAAATCTGAAATCTGAAATACTTATATTCCCAAGCGTTTCACATAAGGTATACTAAACTCGTAATGATAAGAATTGGAACCAATCAGCATAGTTTAAAGGGTGTGTAGGATAAGGGAAGGTGGAGAGACAGAGCTTTCTAGGCAGAGGGAATAAAATAAGAGAGTGTGAGATGTTTGGGTAACTTAAAGAAGTTAGATATGGTGCCAGCATGGAGAGTCATGCAAGATGAGGTTGAAGGTGACATCATCAAATTTGTTTCAAAAAAGGTCATTAGCTATCACCTGGATAAAGCTTTATTTAAATTTTTTTTTTATTTTAGCGTATTATGGGGGTACAAGTGTAAAGCTTTAGAAAGGGGCAAAAGATCATCAGGGAGACCACGTAGGAGATGATTACAGTATAGGGCAAAGGTAATGGTAGCTAACCTTTCTTTTGATATTCTCTATCTTCTTGTTTCCTCTGTGGGAGCTCTAACAAGTCTACTTACTCTCATTGGTTTCTTTTCTTTTGCATACTGTGCTTGTTCATATCTGGCTTTTTTTTTCCTTTGCCTTTTTTATTTTTATTTTAGCGTATTATGGGGGTACAAGTGTTAAGGTTACGTATATTGCCCATGCCCCCCCTACTCCCCTCAAGTCAGAGAGAGCTTCAAGTGTGCCCATCCCCCAAACGTTGCATATCTTACTCATTGTGTTTGTATATACCCATCCCCTCCTCCCCCTCCTTTGCCTTTTTTTGTTTCTTTACCAAGTGAATTGCTGCACCCATATTTTCTCCTATTTTTTTCTGCTTTTCCTTTGTAATGTACATATATTATTACTTTAGCTTGTTTTCCTTCTCATTTGGGTCTCTTTTTATGGACCTTGTCCACAATGTGGTT